GATTACAGGCGTGCACCACCACGCCCAGCTCTTTTCTGGACATTCATGTATGGAGATGGAATTGTACAGTGAGTAGTGTTTGGTGTCTGGCTTTTTTCATTTAACATAATGTTTTCAAGGTTCATCCATTTTGTAATGCAGATTAGTAGAGTTCATTTTGTTTTATTGCTAAATATTTTTCCATTTATAGATATATCATGTTTATTTATTCATTTATCAGTTGATGGACATTTGGGTTGTTTCTACTTCTTGACTGTTTTGAATAATCCTGTTATGAATATTCACATACAAGTTTTTAAGTTTAATTTGTGTGCTTAGGAGAGGAACCCCTAGGTCATATAGCTAGTTATTATTTTAATCTTTTGAAAAACTGCAAAACTGTTACAGTTTTCCAAATTGACTGCACCACTTTATAATCCTCCCAGCAGTGTACAAGGGTAGTGTTTTTCCACAATCTTGCCAATACTTTATTGTCTGACCTTTTGAGGACAGCCACTTTAATGAAGTTTAAGTGCTGTCTTACTGTATTTTCCATGTGCATTTCTCTAGTGACTAGTAATATTGAGCATCTGGGCTTATTGGTCATTTGTCCATCTTCTCTGAAGAAAAGTATATTCAAATCCTGTGCCCGTTTTTAAATTAATGTGTTCTATTCTCTTATGATTACTATCACTGCTAGTATATTAGTACACGCTTGCAGTAGCAGTGATTACATTCACTGTGGGGCGTTCATACATGTGCATAACACATCTCCTTGCTTCTTTTATCCCCACCTCCACCTCGTGGTCCCTTTCCTGTTTGCAAAAGCTCTGTGAATCATTTAGGTATTTAGGTACAAGTTCCTCATCAGAGACATGATTTCCCAAATTTTCTTTGCTTTTTTTTGTGGCGGGGGAGCTTTTTGAGACAGGATCTCACTATGTAGTTCAGGCTGGCCTTGAACTCACGTGTAGCCCAGGCTGGTCTCCAGCTCGCAGCAATCTTCTCGCTTCAGGCGCCCAGTGCTGGGGTTACAGGTGTGTACCATCATGCCTGGTGCAAAATTTTCCTTCCCAACAAAAATAAACTTCATCTTCCATCCAGTGGATTCTCTCTTCCCTTTATTGATGCTATTCTTTAAAGCAGAAAGGTTTAATATTTTAATCCTATCCATTTACTTATCCCTTTGCTAGATGGGCTTTTGGCTTCATAGCTAGTGGTACAGTCGTGAAGATTTATACCCATGTTTTCTTTTCAGAGTTTTATAGTATTAGCTCTTACATATTCAGTCAATTTTTTTATACTTAGTGTGAAGCAATGAGCCAGCTTCATTCTTTTTTATCTGATTTTCAGTTGTTTCAGCAGCATTTGTTGGAAAGACTATTTTTTCTTCATTGAATTGTCTTGGTCTCCTTGTTGAACAATTGACTGTAAGTCTGAGGGTTATTTTTAGCCTCTGAATTCAGTTCTGTCCATGCATGTGTCTATTCTTAGCTAGTACCACAAAGGCATGATTGCTGTTTTGAAACTGGAAGTATGTGTCCTCCAAGATTTTTCTTCTTCTTAAAGCTTGTTTTGACTATGCTGGGTCTCTTGAATTTCTATATGAATTTTAGGATATACTTGTTCATTTTTGCAAAGACATTGGGAGGGTAGTATTTTGATAGGATTACCTTGAATCTGTAGGTCATTTATGGAGGGTATTATTCTCTGAACAGCATTAATTCTTACAGTCCATAAATATCAAATGTCTTTTCATTTAGTTGGGTCTTAATTTCTTTCAACCATATCATAGATTTCCCCTTACAAATTTTGTACTTCTTTTTAAAAATTTCTGGGCAACCTAGTAACTTACTGAACTGTTATCTTAAAATAAAAAAAAAAAAATTAAAAAAGTGATGAGGATGTAATGGAGTGCAAAGCACTGGGTTCAGACCTCATCTGGGAAAACTATTTATTTACTTATTTTTATATATTTAGTACAGGGTCTACAGGGTCTTAACTACACACATTGGACTCATAATGATCCTCCTATTTCCACCCTCCCAAGTGCTGGGATTACAGAGGTACTCCACTGCACCCACTCTCAGTTGCTATCTCAGTGCACCCTGGGGGCAGGGCTGGCACAGCACGCTTGGGGTTGAACCCTGGTCTCTGCATCTGCCTAAGCAGGTGTTTTAGTCCACTGAGCTACCTGGCTGGCCCTGGGAAAACTTTTTCAAATGCAAAAATTTATAAAAAATAACATTTATATGCATTTATAAACTACGTCCTTTTTGTTTATGCTTCTGAACTAATTTCTCTGGCTATAATATCTAGTATAATGTCCACTAGAAGTGGTAAAAACAGATTTATCTTTTCTCAAAGCTCTTCTAATAATTAAATTTATCACTTTATTAGCCTTATCAACCTAAATTCATTTGTTGCCGTTGATTAAATGTTTATCTTTTGAGACAGGCTCTGCTGTGTGGTTCTGAGCTGGTCCTGAACTATTTACCCAGGTTGTCCTTGAGCTCAGAGTGATCCTTCTGCTTCAGATCCCAGAGTGCTGGGCTTAGAGGCATGTGCCTCCAGGCTTGGGACTGGTTAGATGTTTAGAAGAGGTTACAGCTTGAAGTATGGGAGGAAAGGGGTTGACAAGTATTGTATTACTTTTTAGGAGTCAGCCTTAGAGAACTGAAAAGTTTTACCTTTTTTCCCCAAACGCTATTGAGGAGATGAAGCTCTTAGATAGCGTGGTCTACACATACTAAGAATGTGGAGCTTCTCCAAGATGATCTTATTAAGTCCGGAGAGCTCTTGCAGCATCCAGGTCCTCTCCCGATGCTGCGTGTAAACCTACTAATGCACCTGTCAAGTGTCAGCCAATTTCCATGCAGTTGAAAATTTTGGTTAAAAAATAAATTTTCATGCATGGAACAATTTGGAATCTGTTTTGAGGTCGGTATTGCAATTCATATGAAGAATTATGAAAGTGGTCATATATACTGTGACCCTTGAATCTGATTCCTAGGAACATATCCATCAGAAATTATTCAGGAGAGGAAAAAATGAAAAAGAAAGCAAAGTTAAGCTCTTACATGTAGCTGGCTAATTTATATAACATAAATGTCCAACAGAGGGCCAGAGAAATGGCTTAGTAGAATAAGCGCTTCCCTGGCAAACACAAGGGCCGGAGTTCAATCTTCAATCCTCGGTTCTACCAAAAAAAAAAAAGTCCAACAGAATTGCTGTGAGGAAGTATATTTTTATATATGAAAAAGGCACATGGCTAGACCTTGATAGAAACAGTACTTACCAGGAGTGATCCAATAGGGTTACATAATAGTATTTATAAAATAATTCATAGTGAAAAAGGACACAGAATTGTATATAAACAGATTATAATAGTTTTGCAGTTCTCAGTCTATGTAAAGAGTTTGGTAAGGGTCATAAAGGGAATTAATAATCTGTTGCCTAATAATGCCATGCCATGCCTATAATCCTGGCATTTGGGAGGCTGAGGCAGGATTGCTGTGAACTGGAGGCCAACCTGGGCTATAGGATGAATGCACTGCCACAGTGACCTACATAACAAGACCCTGTCTCAAAAAGAAAAAAAAGAAAAGAAAAAAGGAAAGAAAGTTGTGGGTAGTATTTCCAAACTGTCCATAATTTTTTTCAGCACATTTTATTACACAGTGTAATATCACAATGCTAGCCAGGGCAAAAACTGAATTGTTCTATGACAGCAGCACCTGTTAGAGATTAGAAAATTCTCTACACTAGCACATGATAGCAAATAATATCTAATCAAAACTCTTACATAAAAAGAAAACTATTTTTCTGTGTATTCTTTCTAATAGAAATTTATTTTATTTTATTTTTTTATTTTTTAAATTTTTATTTATTTATTTATATGTGTGTGTGTGTGTGTGTGTGTGTGTGTGTCCAGCTCAGCCCACCAGGGGGCGGGGCTGGCTGGCATGTGGTGCTGGGGGATTGAACCGTGGTCCCTGGGCTTCGCTAAGCTTGTTCCAAGTAGGTGCTTTAGACCACTGAGCCATCTCACCAGCCCTCTAATAGAAAATTTAGAAAGTACAGAAAAGTTTTGAAATTTATAAAAACTAATCAGTTCTATCACACAGAAATGACTATAGCTTTGCATTATTTTTTTCTATGTGTATATTTATTTATTTATTTTTAAATTTTTCCTTGTTTTGTATTTAGTACAGGGTCTACAGGGTCTACAGGGTCTCACTATGTAGATTAGACTCGTAGTGATTCTCCTGTTTTCAGCCTCTTAAACGCTGGGATTACAGGCATGTGCTACCACGCTTAACTGCAATCTCAGCATGCTCTGGGGGCAGAGCCAGCACAGCAGGCTGGAGATTGAACCTCCTCCCCCTGCATTTACCTAAACAGGTGCTTTAATCCAATGAGCTATCTGGCTGGCCCTATATTTATACATGCTATACATACTGGATTTTTTTTCAGTCATATTTCATTGATATATTTTAGGTATACATAATGGTCACATTCATCAGAGAGAAATTTGTACCTGTATATGATATAACTTGATCCTCCCAACCTTGGAAGATTTTAAATAGGCTTAGCTTACTTTATAGCTGTTGATTTTTAGCAGAAAAGTTAATGCTACACATTTTATTTATTTATTTATTTATTTATTTATTTATTTATTATGCATTTGGTACAGGATCTCACTATGCAGCTTGGACTCGTAGTGATACTCCTGTTTTCAGTCTCCCCAGTGCTCGGATTACAGGCATGCACCACCACATCTTGGTGGCTGGCTCAGTGGGGCCAGGGGTGGGGTCGGTGTGGCATGTGGTGCCAGGGATCAAACCCTGCTCCCTGTGCTTGCCTAAGCAGACACTTTGTCTGCTGAGCTATCTCGCTGGCCCAATGCTATACATTTTCATATGAGTGTGCTCCTAGAGGCTTGCTTTAGACAGCCAGTTCCTAGAGCCCTGGAGTAGGATCAAACAAATGCATATGCTTTTCCCCCCTCTCTGCTATAGAAATTGGTGTGTTAGCCAAGACTTTCATTGACCAAGGGAAGCTTATTCCAGATGATGTCATGACTCGACTGGCCCTGCATGAGCTGAAAAATCTCACCCAGTGCAGCTGGCTGTTGGATGGTAAGTGGTGCGTCACTGGCATTTCTGTCAGCAAAAGCTGAGCACTTCATGGGCTGTGGTCAGTCCGGTCAAGAATGGCAGGGAAGGGACTTGAGAGTATTCAGTGATGAGGAAGGCTTACTATTAACAGCAGGAAGCCCCTAGAGTAACTCAGAATGAGCTGTAAAATTCCCCAGCCAGACGTGTGGCAGAACCCTTGAGGGCAAGCTCTGGTTTCTAATCATTGCTTCGTTGATATAGAGAAGACATGAAAGAGAGATCTATCTATATTTTAAAACCAGCATTAGCTTTCTCTGCAGGCTTGAAGTCATACTATCCGCTTTGGGAAGAGGATGTGCTGCTGTAGCCTTGCTTGCCAGTGCTCTGTTCTTGCCTACTCAGCCCTGTCCCCCACCTTGGAGCATGGACGCGGTGCACTTCACCAACTCTGTGGCCCTGCCACGTGCCTTCTGGAAGCTTCGCTGTTTTCTGATTTGTACAAAGGTTCCAAGTGGATTCGACTGGTATCAGGAAGGTGAAGGAGAGCACAAGGCAGGAGCAGCCGGGCGAGCAGTCACCTGGGCGTATTTGTGGGAGCTCCCATCCGGGAGTTTGCCTACATGGGTCCATTGACTGAACTTGCTATCAGTATTTGCGAAGAATCTTGAGGACTCAGAAATTCTTAGAACATGTAGAGAGGGTCTTTGGTGGGCAGAGACTATGTTAAGTGACAGACCCTGTGCGCACCACACTTCTTGTATTTATTCAGTACACAAATATTAACTGAATACTTTCAATGTGCCAGAAGGTGTTTGAGGCTCTGAGCCTAAATGTGAACAAATCCTTGCCTGTGTGGAATGTACATTCTAGCAGGAGACAGGTAGCAAACAAGTAAATAGAAATTTGGGTAAGTACAGAAACCAATAAGTGCTTTGCAATAAAAGTTGTGTGAATACAATAATGTGGTAGAGAAATACCTACTTATTTTCTAATAGAAAGTATATCTCAGGTTTGGAATTGAAAACTATTTTTAAAAGTTGAGTGAAGTCTTGCTTCTTTCTGTGTGTGATGAGAGGGCTTTGGAGCACTCCCCTTTGTGTGAGGTCCTAGTAGGCTGCAGGAATATAGTGTCCGGACAGGGCGGAGGGGCAGCCCAGCACAGGACTATGGCAAATTAGCCATGAAACTACTCCCTGGTCGTCGCTCAGCACAAGTGGGGAATGGGTCAAAGACAGGGACACAGTGGAAGGGCTTGGGAGGGCAAACCTTTATTATTTTTGATTTTTAAAATCATTGCTCTATTCCAACAATACTATTCACTTTTAAAAATTAAAAGGATATAAATATGAGAGACTTAAAGCCCTCAGTGGTCATAGCCTTCAGGAACAACCTCTCTGAATTGCTTGACATGTAATTCCAATGGGCTTTTTTCCATAGCTAGTGATAAAAAAAAAAATCTACACATGTATCTTATATGAAGATTCCCTCTTCAACATCTAATACTACTTTTCTTGATCTGTACACATACATGTACATACATAGTATGTATATGCCATTTGGGAGCATTTTGTTTTCACTGAATTAAACTGTATTTAACAGATTGAACTTTTTGAAATAGGCTAAGCAGGAGCTTGCTTGCTGAAGTATGTATCACATTCCACTTAATCCCCTCCCTACGAACGCTGGGGTCACAGCCAGCTGCTTGCAGTTGGAGTGATGCTGCGGGAACTGTCCTTATCTTTCTGTTAGTGTGAGAGGTCATTTTCATGCAGCTCGCCTCTTTCAGTTCATGTTGGGGTCTAAGTCTATGAGTGTAAACCTTTTAATCAGAACTACAGCAATAGACAGGTATTTTTACCAAGATGTTTTTTCTTTCAGTGTATGCCTCATGTTGATAAGCAATAGGTGTTGAGTTGGCTAACTTGTGTTCAAATTCTACATCCTCTGCCTAGTTGCTAGAGCAAGTTACTCAACCTCGCTGTACCTAAATGTAATCTGTAAAATGGTAATAATATAGTACCTCTCTTATGGTTATTATGACAGTCTGAAGGAGTGACTGTTACCTATTTAAGTGTTAATCTGATCCAAAAACACCCTGACATAAACACCCACCCAGAATATTTGATCCAGTATTTGGCCACCACATAGCCTGGTCAAATTGGAACACAAAAATTAACCATCACAATTATACTACAGCCTGTCTAATGTTATTCCTTTTGTTCTACATAAATACTTTTCCTTTCTTCCTCCTTCTCTCACCTTCCCCTCATTACTATTTGTTTTACTTTGTAAAGGTTTTCCCAGGACACTTCCACAGGCAGAAGCCCTGGACAAAGCCTATCAGATAGACACAGTGATCAACCTGAATGTGCCCTTTGAGGTCATTAAACAGCGTCTCACTGCTCGCTGGATTCATCCAGGCAGTGGCAGAGTCTACAACATTGAATTCAACCCTCCCAAAACTGTGGTGAGTAGTTGTGTTGGAACTGCCTCTCCCTGAATTCTCTTGCCTTTAGGTATGAGTTCTGTGAACTTGGAAAGCTCCTGCGGGTGTTTCCTCAGGTTACTTGGGATAGCAGAGGCATCTAGACCACTCAGCTTGGTGGCAGAGGTGCTCCAGGAGCAACAGGAGTTTGTTATTCATGCTGAACTATTTATTAACTTTGTATTTTGTGCCAGGAAGTTTGTTAGGAGCTAAGGTGAGGGGATTTGGCTTGCAGATGAGATTCAAGGTCTACAGCTGAAGTGTTTTCTGTACATTTTGAATGATTTAGAGGCTATTTAGAAAACCTTTTAACTAAGAAGATCTACGAGTATTTGCCTTCTGCTACTGTAAGAAATACCTAAATAATCATGTTCAGTTATGGAGGTTCCAGTCCCATATCAGTTGGCCCGCTGCTTTCAGTCCTGTGTTGAGGCAGCGCTTCATGCTGGCTGGCCTGTGACACAACAAAGGCACGCACTTTGTGATGAAGGGTTGCAGCCATCTATCTTGGGTTGGATTCCATGTACTTAAAAGCTAGCACAGTTTTGTGCTTGCTGCTTACACAGAGAAGATATGATTAAAAATAATAAACTGCTTATAAAATATCTTTCAAAGATTCAATATTTGATAGAAGTATCTTCGAACTCCTATCTAGGGTATTGATGATCTGACTGGAGAGCCTCTGGTTCAACGTGAGGATGATAAACCGGAGACAGTGATCAAGAGACTCAAGGCTTACGAAGCCCAAACAGAGCCGGTCCTGGAATATTACCAGTGAGTTCTTGCTTTTTGGAACCTCTTTTACATGACAAGGCACAAAGTCCATTTTTTATTTTCCATGTTACAGCTAAAATACCAGAAGACCCATATTCAATTGGCTTAAGTAATAAAGGAAATTTATTAGCTTGTGTAACAAAGAATTCCAGAAGTAGGTTGGGCCTGTCAGTCCTAGGTTTGATAAGTTTTGCCAGTCTCTTTACTTTGCCTTCTTTAGTACTACTGGCTTTGTCCTCAAGGTTCCCTGTGACTGCAGACATTTGGTCAGAACAGGCACGGCTGCTTCTTTCATGAGGACTGAGGAGCCCATCTTTCTGTCAGTGTATAAAAGCTCCAAGCATCTCTCAGATTAGGCCAACTGAACAGCCACTGTTGTCAGGGCCTTAATATTCTAGGGGTCACTGAAGCAGTCACTGGGCCCAGGGGAAGGATAACTGACTAGTTCACACCTAGAGTCTTAAGCAGGCCAGTGTCACCCACATGCCTGCTAGGAGGCAACCCAAAGCCCTCTGCATGTGCCAATGGAGGATGCCTTAGCACTGAAGCATCCTAAGTGACAACTAACCTTTAGATCCCTTATTTGGCTAAAGGTCTTTAAAATTAAGCTTCTATTCTAACATGATTTTGATCTGTTCAGAGAATTCCTATCACCACACAAAACGGGTGCTGTGCTGCGTCAATCCCTGCTGCAGGCTCCCAGTCCTGCTGCCTAGCTTGCCCTGCCTCCTTGTTCCTTTCATTTGTTTGCTTGTGAGTAAGGGTTCTGTGTCAAGGAAGTAGTGCCACAGTGACAGCAGGCTCTGCAGCCAGAACGCTCAAATTCAGGTCCCATCTTGCTGTGTAAGAGAATTAGCTTTAACCTCTTCCTTAAACTCTGCCTATTTTGTCCTCTATGAGAATAAAGGCTTGAAAGTGAGTTAATAAAATTATGGCTGACATGCAGAAAGCACTATGTAAGCATTAGCTGTTATGACAGTAGTTACTGTTGTAATAGGGCTAAGTATGCAATAAAATCTGAAGCAGTAGTCTCCAAACTTTTACTAGATATTTCTGGAGGATGAAATGATAAAACAGTTGGCAGTTCACTTTTTACAGTAGCTATTGTTGTAATTTTGTGATTCATAAAAAGCCTGGCTTTGAGGATGACTAGCTCCTGTCACTCTGAGTAATGCCAGCAGTGCCAGCAACATAAACATTTTATAAGATCAGGCAGTATTAAATACAGGTCTTCCTCATTTAACTACTGCTTTCTGTTCCTGTGACTGGGTCATTCAGTGAATTGGTTGCTAAGTGAGGAATTGTATATACTATGTACATTACAATACTCAGAGCAAAGAAATGGTCAGAGGAAACTCCAACTTGACAGATTTGCTTTTATTTGCATAACTTATGGCAGTGCTATAATGTATTTTTTTTTAATTTTTAAAGAATACAGTGATTTAAAAAAACAACATTAGAAATGATACAAGATTTCACTAAACAAAGAAATAGGAATTCAACAATGGTCGCTGTATTACCTGATATTATCTTCAGATTGCTTGTTCAGATTACCAGATATGAATGTGTAAGATTCATTTAAACAAAAGAGACTAAGCTTTAAGTTAGAGTAAAATAAAACAATTTTCAAGAATTAACTGCTCCCTTCAAAAGACCAGCAGCAATCAACAATACAAATTATCCAAACTATTCTACATCCTTTTCTTCATCCCAGTTTTTCCTTCCCATTGGACAGTTTCTTTCCCTTTCTCAGTATCTGTTGTACCTTTTAGAGTTTAATTACTCTTTCAGGTTCTCACACTAGAGAGATAATATGATGTTTGCACATATGGATCTGATTTACTTCACTTACCAATAGTCTCTAGCTGCATCCATTTATCTACACAGTCTAGCTGAATAATACTTCATTGTGTAAAAATACCATCTTTTTTATCCATTCCTCAGTTGATGGCCATCTGGGTAGTTTCCAAGATTTAGCTATGACAATTGTGCTGCTATAAACATGGGTGCACATATACTGCTGTGGTATGAGGTTTTCAGTTCTTCTGGAAAAATACCCAGGAATGGAATAGCTGGCTTGAATGGGACCTCTAATCCTAACTTTTTGAGGCATCTCCATACTGATTTCCACAGTGGTTGTACCAGCCTGCACTTCCACCAACAGAGGAGGACTCCTTTTTCCTCACAGCCTCTCCAGCATTTGTTATTGGTTGACTTCTTGATGATAGCCATGGTATCTCAGCAGTTTTAATTTGCATCTCTTGAAAGACCAATGATGTTGAACTTTTTTTTCCACATATTTATTTGCCATTCCTGTGTCTTCATTTGTGAGGTATATATTCACCTCAGATGCCCATTTTTTGGTTGGGTCTTTGAATTTTGGAGGCCTGATTTTTAAAATTCTTTATATGTTCTAGATAGGAGTCCTTTGTCTGAAGAACAGTTGTCAGTTGTCTCCCACTGTGTGGGTTTTCTTTTTACTCTGCTGGTGATTTCTTTTGATGTGCAGAAACTTTTCAAGAAGATGAGATCCCAGTTGTTGAGTCTTTGAAGTATTTCCGTTGAGTTTGATTATTGTTCATGAACTCTTTATCTACCCCTGTGTCCTTAAGGTTTCTACCTACGTTCTCTTCCAGAAGATGTAGTATTTCAGTTTTAATAATTAAATCTTTGATCCAGCAGTGCTGTAATGTAGAGGTTACTTTTTGTTTTGTTTTGTTTTTGAAACAGGGTCTCATTGTGCAATTCAGCCTGGCTTGAACTCCCTATTTAGCTGATGTTATCATCAAACTCACAGTGATCCTCCTGCCTCAGCATGTTAAGTACTGGGATTACAGGTGTGCATCACCATGCCTAGCTTGTAATATATAACAGAATTTAAAACTACAGTTCTGTTGTGTACAGTTCACTTAGCAAAAGTTACAGTACTATACAAATAAGGTGCACAGCATAAGAAAACAGCATTGAGGCTCTAAAAACAAGATGTACAGAACTGTACAAAAAAACAAGGCCATAAGTCTGAACAGCATGCCTCAGATGTAAGTACAAACAGCTGTGAGGCAGGTAGACTGTTACACAAAGAGTATCTGTAGCACCTGCTGTGTGGAGCTGTTAAGGGAAAGTGAGAGAGTCCACGGAAGACCTGGGGCAGTCCTGTCTGCTAAGGCACCGATTGTTTGTGACTATTATTCTGTCATTGTTGTGCCAGGCCCTTGGTCCAGACATTTGGACCCAATTCCTTCTAGGCCTCAGGAAACTCACCTTTTATATGAGTCAGGGGACTAGTAAGTAGGGAAACAGTGCTTACCATGCAGTGTGATACATGCTTTTATTATTTTACTTTTCATTATATTTTATTTTAAATATTTTCTTTTATTTTAAATATTTTATTAGTTTTGTTTGTTTTTGGTTTTTTTTTTGAGATAGGGTGTTATTATGTAGTCCAGGCTGGCCTCAAACAGTAATTCCCCTGCCTAGCTTCTGAGTGCTAGGATACAGGTATGTGTCACCATGCCTGGCACTACATGCTTTTATTCATCAGGAACCTAACTCACAATGGCTTAAGCAAAAGAAGAATTTGCTAATCATATAATTAAAAAATTTCAAAGGTAGATAGATGGCTTGGCTTGAAAAAAAATATCACCAGGTATGATGGCACATGCCTATAATCCCAGCACTTGAAGACTGAGGCAGGAGATCACAATGAGTTCAAGAGCAGCCTGAACTGCATAGCTAGGCCTGGAGAAAGGAAGGGAGGGAGGGAGAAAGGGAGAGGGTAAGAGGAAAGAGGAGAGAGAGGAAGAAGGAGGGAGAGAGAGGCAAGCTAGCTAACTAAGTCATTAAGAGCCAATTTCAAGGGCCCATGAGATAGCTCAGCAAACCAAGCACCTGCTTAGGCAAATGCAGGGACCAGGGTTTAATTCATCACACACTGTGCCAGCCCAGCCCCTTAGTGACCTGCTGAGCCAGCCACCAAGACCAGGCATGGTGGCACACACCTGTAATCCCAGCACTGGGGAGGCTGAAAACAGGAAGATCACTACAACAAGCTGTGTAGTGAGACCCTGTACCAAATACACTAAAAAAAAAAAAAAAATCAGCTCCATTTGCAGGCATGTGCTTCAGTGGGCTCCCCTTGACACTAGCTTACTTCCTACCAGTTCAACTACCCATGCAGAAAAGCAAGCATCACTGCTTGTCTTGTGGCTGACAGAGATTAGCTCTGACCATGCCATGTTTGAAGATGCGGAATGGAGAGTCTCACTTGAACCTTATGGGGAGATTTCCAGTAGTCTTCAGAAGGCAAAATATGTTATTGGTGGGCAGACACCACCACCACAAAGTCTGAAGAGTTAGTGTGGCCAAATGTGAGAAGTTGGGAAAGGCTGCAGAAATGAATGGCATAGGTCCTTAAGAGATATTCTTTCTTTTCTTTTTCTTTTTTTTAAAATTTTTATTTATTTATTCGTGTGTGTGTGTGTGTGTGTGTGTGTGTGTGTGTGTGGCCAGCTCAGCCCACCAGGGGGCGGGGCTGGCTGGCATGTGGTGCTGGGGGATTGAACCGCGGTCCCTGTGCTTTGCTAAGCTTGTTCTAAGTAGGTGCTTTAGACCACTGAGCCATCTCACCAGCCCCGAGATATTCTTTCTTTCTAGGCTTCTTCAGGCTGTTACCTTTTGCCATCATTTCGTCTTTTTCTTGTATGTTCTCACACACAGAACTAAAGCTGGACTTAAGTGCTGAAAATAGCATTAGTAAGAACTTTAGTGTAGCATTATTTTACAATGCTGTCACATTATTTTTAATTTTTTCTCACCTGTAGGACATTAATAGGTCTATGTTTACAAATACAATGCTCTTACTCTTTGGAGGACTGTTAGAGCTAGTAACAGTCATTTTGTCACAGTAATTAAAATGACAAACATTCATTCAGGACATGATTCTAGGACTCACTAGAGGGCTGCAGATTAACCTACTTATGACACTGGTTTGATATGAAAGTGGCTCATAAGAGGCTAAAACTTGTTAGGCTTGTTCTCTTGAAAGTCTTACTAGATACCTGTGAATTCAGAAACTAAAGAGCTTATAATAGGCAAAGAAAATAGTGTGTTGACACAATTTCTCTCTAGAGCAGATGTGTCTTACAAAAAAAAAGTGCTAACTGTAGGAAATTTCATGAGGGATCAAAAAGAAATCCTTTTGTTCTAAGTGAAAACTCTGAAAACTTAGTAAGCTGCAGAGGTACACAGGACTCCTGTTTTCAGAAAATGGTAAATCATTCTTCACTTGCTCTTATACTGCCTGTCAACTCATGTATACGCAAAGGAGTGTTTGGGTTGGGAGCGGTGGGATTAGTGAGACTGGGAGACTGGAGGGCTGTGTGGTTTGAAAAGAAACCCCGGGATTCTGATCTCACTCCTTACCATCTGGTCCATAGGAAATGGGTAAGTAAAATGGACTCTGGCTACTGGCCTCATCATAAGCCAGACCAGCCTGCCCAGGAGAAATGGAAGAATCTAATGGGAAAACCAATAAAACTTAACACTTTCTATTCCCCTGTTAAAATTCACAAGGATGGATAAACAAACAAATCTCAGCAAAAAAGGATAATGAAATATTAGCTTATTTTGCCTAAGACATAAGTGGACAAAAGGGTGTTCTAGTGCCTAACAAGTCCCATTTGGAAACATGCCACCATCACAGTGATTTGGACCAAGTTAATTTTACAAAAGAGACACTATTATCAGTAACTAAAGAAAAGCCGAGCTTTTTAACAGATTAAATTAGCACAGTGCACACCTAATAAATGATAGCTGCTATTATTTTTGATGTGCCCATTTCTGTAAGCCAGGGGGCAAAGCTGAAACTAAAATCTAGGTTTTCCAATAGCGCTATAATTCCCTTCTCCTTTGATCACATGGACCTATACTTAATGAAACTCTTAAACCTTCGCTGTCATCTTTAATGAACAAGTTTTTTTGAAAAGGCTCATTAGGAAAACTTGGGCCTATGGATTTTTTTTTTTTTCTCCAATCTTTAGGAAAAAAGGGGTGTTGGAAACATTTTCTGGAACAGAAACAAACAAGATCTGGCCACATGTATATGCCTTCCTACAAACAAAAGTGCCACAGAAAAGCCAGCAAACCTCCATTACTCCATGAGAGAAAAGCACGTACCTAGTAAGATGAGCAGAAGAAACTCTTCTGTGCCTTTCGCAGCTTCTGTTTTCTAAAACTCAAGCATGTATGAATTTTCTGAAAATTGTTTTATTTCTATTGATTTGATTCTGAGTGTTACTAAAGATGTGCCAAATGAATCAGATAAGACCGATCTTTACAAGTTGTCTAGTATGTTTTATTCATTTGTCTTTTATAGGTGTACAATTCAAAAACACCAGGTATGTTAAAGCTTAAAAAAATGTGAAATTAAAAGAGCAGTTGGTAGTCATTTTTTTGTTCAGTATTTGATAATTCAAATGTTCACATTTTTCTGGAGAAGTAAAAAAGTTACATGTCACTTGCTTGGGGAAAATACAAGACTTTTGCAGTGATGCAAAAAATTTTTTTCTAGTCCTGTGGAATATGGTTTTGTGAGACACTGTATCTATAGTTTCCTGACATAAAGTTACAGAAAAAATGCAACCCGATTTATAGACGTTGCAAGATGCAAATTCATTGTTGCCTTTCCACTAATAAACATAAAGCTAGCTACATATGCCCTATTTATTGTTATTAGACATACTTTTAGCTTACTCAGAATTTGAAACAAAAACAATTAGCATATAAGAAATTAGCTTATTTTCTTTTGAAAATACTTATGTGTTGAGGGATATGATTTATGTAAAAATGACAAAATTTTTTGATTAGCACCAACAGTGAATGAGTTTCAATGGAAAATATAGGCAGGTTTTCAGAAGTTACTTATGCTAAGAAACAGGATCTACTTGTCAGTTTCTTTTTAACCCAAATTTATAATATACCTTGGCAAACAACAAATTATAGTACAAAGAAAAATAAAGTTGGCACAATGTAAAGCAAGCATGCTTCATAATTTAGGGCTTATAAATAGATCAGCCATGTCAGGAAGATATTCCCTTGATGGTAACACAACTACAATTAGTAAACAGGTGTAGCAACAAAAGGAATAGCTAGGTTAGAAAAGGATCAGAAAAGTAACCGAGTTTCCTAAAGGAGATCTTTACTCCCACTGAAGAAACTGCTGTCTGCTAGTGTTCACTGCCATCCTACATCCAGAGGAAAGAATTCTGCTGGTGTCCCCTGAGCAGCTGTTTAAAACATAATCCTGTTTCCTTAGTAGGGCAACAAGGATGCACGCTCACGCACTGTGCCTGGTAGGAAATGGGGCACCTGAGAAGCAGAGGGAAACTCCAACTGCTTTTTCCATGTGATACTCTTACTTTACTTGGTGCTGAAACAAATCTAGCAAGCACCTGTATAGGCTGTTAACTGGCCCTTTTAAGAGTTTGGCCCATTTTTTTCCAGACATTTAAATTTAGGTGCCAGCCAGTGGTGCTTATGTCCTGGGGGACACACTTACTTTTGTTTTTATATTTTTAAAAAATTCATTGTTGATCTTTCAAAATGAAGCAAGGCTTTTTAAAAGGATTAAGTCATTAGTTCTTTATAAAACTCTTATGCCTTATTTGAATGTTAATACTATATGCTTTCTAAAAATGGGAATTACCAAACACCACCAGGTTATCAGAAATACATTAATTTCTATTAGACTAAAATTTAAGTATGGTGGCTGTTACTTTGTCTTTGACAATTCACGATGCCCACTCTAGCCCACCTTTCTGCTGTCTTGACTTCTCACTGGCTTCATTCTAATAAACTATCTTAAAAAAAAGTGCAGAGGCTGGTTTAATTTTATGTAAGTCTTTTATCTTCTGGTGTGGTGTTGATAGTCATACTGGCTTCCATGACACTTTGGGAGACTTGCAATCAAAGAGAAAGGTTGAAGCATGCTATGAAAATTAAGATTCCTTTTCCCTGTGACCATTCCTCCCCTACCCCCAAAACAATAGTAATTTTGCACATATATCCATTACTTTGAGAAGTATGACATTTTTCATTAAAACAATTTCTGCTGAATGGGTTTGTGTCACAGACAATGTTAAGGACATCACTGTGGATTGCATCCTGCCAAACAAAGAATGCTGGGATGTCCATTATGAGTTATGTGCCACACAGAAATGTCTACAGCTGAATGTCATGGTCAGGAGCTACTGTACTTTAGTTAAAAGATGATGAGAACAGTGTCTCAACATATTACCCTACTTTCTCGAGTAATAGTCAAGCAAAGTGTGAGGTTGGAAACAGAAAATGGCAGTGGCTCCAATTTCTAAACCCCTCTCCCCCGCTACTTCCCCTCCCTCCTTAGCTATATGTATGGTGGCATTCCAGCAAAACATCTTGGGTCCTCTTGGCTTGGAAGGAAACTGCCTTATACTAACAGACTGTAATTAACTAACCTCATGTTACATCAAATTATTGTAATATGGTACTTGCAACCCAAAAGAATAAACTTGCATTTTTAAAAACTGTTTATAAAGTGTGTCTTCTCATTGACAAAAGAATGTCAATGATACACTGCAGAAATGGATTTCTTGCAATAAAAGATTTTCATCTTGGAAGTCATGGTTTAAAAATATCAAGAGTTAAAATAGCCATTCTTAAGATGTTGGTAGTAAAGGCTAACAGAGATCTATAGTCTCTCCCTCCCCAACCCTTTTTTTAAGCTACGATTGCGAGTTTTCCCATATATAGCTCTGAATAAAGCTAAATTATCATCTCAAAGTATAAATCAATCCAGTATGTCATATTTTTTCCAAAGGATTCTAAGTGTCTGAAGAGTAAACAACACTAATAATCATAGTTTAGAGAAACAAAATGAAAGATGTAAGAATTTTTAAGAAATAATTTCACACAGTATTTAGCAAACTTCAAATCTAATTCTTTAAAGCTTATGAGAATATTTTCATTTTTACATAGTAAGCCATTCATAATCAACTTTTATTATTTGTATGCTCATTAATTTACACAGTAGGCAAATATAAAATGAATCAACTTCTGAGAAGACCAAGAAGTAGTATGTATATGTCATTTACAGATGAGAACGGATGCACAAGGTTTAAGGTTCTCATTAAAATATGTATGGCACAGTGGCAAAATTGAACCATAGATAAGCAAAATTTCTGTCCCACATCAATTTAAGAAAATACACAGCCTACTCTGAGAACAGTAAATTGACATATTTTTTTCTAAAAATACTCAGGATCTACCTTAAACCTATGACCAATGTTTTCACTCTGCAAGAAATATACTTATTAAGCTGGTTTGGTGTTATCTCAGCACTGTGATGAGACTGAGGCAGGAAGAGAAAAAGTTCAAGCCAACTCTAGATAATTTAATGAGATCCTGTCTTAAAATAAAACACAGCCATGTTCTTTGGGCAGTGTGTGAATGATGTCTGAAAGGAGAACGCCTGACTGTCCTAAAGAAAAGTTACAGATTTGTGAGTTCATTAGGCAAAAACAGAAAATGCCCACTAATGGTACAATTGGAAGAGAATGTTGCCTGTTTATTTTTCTTAGAGTAATAATTTTTAGATCAGTATCATTAACTACCACTGACAGAATGACAAAAGAGTTAAGAGAATAAATGGATAAGTATTTGATTTTTAAAAAGTACTTTATTAGAAGATTTTATCAAGTGAAACAAGAATCTTTGTTGAATACTCTGATGCTGAAAATGTTCATTAATCAGTTTGGACATTCTATGGTTTAATTAGTTTAGGGAAAATTGTCCAGCCTGAAATAATGAGTGATCTCTTTGTTGAGTATACTCTTAAGAAACTGAAAGAGGGTATTTATTTTGGAAGGATTTAGTTCTCAGTTTTAAAGAGGACATTTTCAGAATGAAGAGGATATTAGCTATTCTTAGTACTTAAGTACTGTTAATTATGTAAGTCACTTAAGTGCAAATTATGGCATCGGCCAGTGGTTCCCAGAACAGATACAATCATACTTTTATACACTCAAAATACACAATATTTCCTATTCAAAGTAAAAAAATATATATAGTTAAATTTCTAAGAACTGTTCTTCAGTAATCTATTTTTAAAAACAATGCAAACCCCTCCAGGAATAGTTCATTCAGTTTGTCCACACTTCTCTAATGAATCTTCAGTCATTAGTAACCATTAAGCAAAATGAAAGCCAAAAGCAATGTGGAAGATTATAGGGCAAGTCATGGGGAAAAGTGAAATTGGAGGGAAACTGAGTAATAATAATTAAAAAGTGAGTCTGAAAATAACTCAAGTAGCATTTCTGTGAGAAGGGGGAATCCTCCTGTGTGTAGGTTTATTTTCTCCATCTGTTACACAGGGAAAACAAGAGCATGCTCCAGAATGGTGGGGGTGGGGTAGGTAATATCTTTCTATGACCAGAACATCAGGTTCAAAATTTTTAAAAAATCCAATCTGATTAATAGCACTATATAAATTAGTCAAACATTTTATTATAGACTATATATAAAAAGCATGAAAGATTTTATTGTGAAAATCAGGAAGACTGTGATGTTATAGAATTATGACTCAATAATTCCAGTCCATTTCATTTATATTAAGTGTCTAATTACCTCAATTAAAACAAGGTGCCAAAAAAGGCTAGTCACAGTTCTGATCCCCATATGGGTCCCTTAGTGTGGTTTTCTGAACTGAGACACATATTCCCAATCCCAGATGGCCCAATTCCAAATGTTTGCTACTAGTCTTAAAGGGTACTAAGTCAAAGCCTACACTCAAATACAATCAAAGCTCATGTTCCTGTCAGTTTAATCCTCAAATAACAAGGAGAACATAGTAACACTGTCATCTATTTCTAAATAAAATAAATCAAGTATCCTGGTATTTTTAAAGTAAATTATATAGGAAGCAGTAATGCTGAGAAGCATTCTATGGTAACAGCTAAAGTAGGAACAGTAAATGTAGCAAAAGCCATTACCACCATATGAAGGGTTCCCAGATTCTCAGAAATAAGCTGGCAGCTCAAGGCAGTCAGCTCTACAAGATGTCTCATGACTTTCACAGAAACCTTTTAAAAAAGCTCCATTAGAGTGAAACAAATAATAACCATAATTTAAAAAAACGTATCATTCTTCCTGTTTGTTCTTATAGGCCATTAACATTCTTTTTAAACTTATTCCCTGAGAGTCTCAGACTGTTAAGAAATTAAGAGTGAACTTGAAGTTTATCTTTCTAAAAATAACCAAAACAACAATACATAAGCCCATCATTTTTTACATTACTACAAGACTTAGGTGCTTGCTTCGGCAGCACATATACTAAAATTAGAAAGACTTTTTTTTTTTTTTTTGGTGGAACCGGGGATTGAACTCAGGCCCTTGTGCTTGCCAGGGAAGCACTTCTTCCACTGAGCCATCTCCCCGGCCCAAGCCCTAATATTAAAAAAGTCAACAAGGTAAAAATCAACTTCTAAAGAACAGTTTAGTGAGTATTTGGAGGGTAAATGTAATGTATTTAAACCACATTTACATCACTGTCAAGGATTTAACTGATGGTGCCGAAAATACAAATGTAGTATTTTAAGAGGAATGTTACAAATTTGTGCCACTCAGCTTGTTTAGTAAAGCAGATTACCAACTACTGATTTATTGCTTTTAATGAAACACCAGATTTGACAGTTAAATTACCAGTGGGACAAAAGTATATTTTTAATTATTTTTGTAGAGGACATGTACACATCCATATAAAAAGAGACTGTAGCAGATGCCTACTAGAATCAACCACTTCTTGTAAACACTGCATTTGTGCAGATTTTCTAACTTTGATTCCAAAATTGAGAATAATTAAAGGCAAAATTAGTAGCCAAAGGGGAGGTGGAGGGAGTCCACTTTGACTTTCTCCAACCTGTGGTACCACTCCCTTCAGAAAAAAAAAAAAAACAAAAGACCTAGCAGCACATAAAAAAAAGTTACAAAATGTTTCAGTACTCCATTTTCTCTCCCATCAAAAACAAACAAAAATAAAGTGCAGCACCCATAAAAGTGTCAAGAAAATAGCCAAGTTCTTCCTTTCTGGTAACAAAATAGCACTTGGCCTCAGCAGTCTTAACCAAATTATACAGTGTCCATCATTTTGGGTTCATCATCTTCTTTATGTACCACTGAATTTAAACTGCAGAGAGCTGTAGCTGTATTGATAGAATACTGAAGATAATCTGGATTCTGGGGGAGAGAAAAAAAGTGGGGGAAAAAGAACACATAAAAAAAGTTTTATGTCAGACATACAATTACATATTCCATTTCATTCCCTACTTCTCTGTAGTATAGCAGAATAGGAATGAAGATGAACCTGAGAGACTTGGGCCAAAACCCAAGACAATAAAGAATAGTATGTTATCACTTAATTCAAAGGAACATGACAAAGACAGAATGATAAATACAAACAGAAATGTAACACCACTCTTTTTTGAAAAAAATTATAATTTTAATGATTTAAATCCATGTAAGGGTACATTCGATGCTAATCTGCGTAATAACTTAAATGATAACGTTAAGCCTCCAATATAATTTTAAACTTACTAATTGTAACAGTAAATACTTAAAAGGCAAAACGTAAATAAAAGAAAAAAGTCCATTTAATGAGTAAAATAAACTTGAATGAGAATTTAATCTTTTGAGAGGCACATAGGCTCACCATTTTAAAATGTGACAAAAGACAAAAACAGGATTTTCAAACAGAAGGAAAACTCAAATGTTATGTATACCCATTTCAAAAACTGAGAACAGAAAACACAAATCTTTGTTCAATAAATGCAAAAATAAAACCATTATTTGTTAAAGAACAAGGGATAAGGACATAAGCCTTTCAGATCCAAGCCTTAAGAAATCCTCTCCCCAAGAATTCATTTTGCCTAAGTTAAGTTACTCAAGTTAAGTCTCAATATATGCCAGCTACTTTCACTGCTGTATTATCTTTCACATACTTTTATTTAGCAAGTACCAATGTGGAAAAACTAAAATCACTGACAGTCCAAGTGGGACAGATACACACTTCCCATCCCACAGGGAGGTGGGGTTTTTAAAAACTCCTCCTGATAAAGTACACTTACTGCTTTCTTTACTGTAAAAGCCAAAACCTTAGCTAGAATGTGGATGATTACTAAACAGGTCATTGTGAAAGTATCACCAATAAACTGATTACAGTCTAAAATGTGCATATGGACCTCAGTTCTAATTCTGCCTTTACTACAGTGTTAAAATCCTGAAAATAAAAAAATTCTTGGGCATTGGGGAGATAGCTCAGTAGAATACTCTTGCCTGGCAAGCTCAAAGGCCTGAGTTCAATCCCCGGTTCCACCAAAAAAAAAAAAAAATCTTCAAATAAAGTTTCTCTAACTGTAACAGAACACCCATGTCTGACAAAAGAAAACAAAAAAGGGGATATGCTGGGAGCCATGGTAGCTGACTGTAACAGAACACCCATGTCTGACAAAAGAAAACAAAAAAGGGGATATGCTGGGAGCCATGGTAGCTGAAACATTGGTCATCTCTGTGTAGGC